AAGGCATAAGGGGGGAAGAACAAAAAACAGGCAGCAACCCAAGAAGATCGCTCTGATACCATGTGAACAATTCAAGTAGAAGCAGAGAATGCCAATATATTCACAAACGATAAAAATATACAGCAGCTGTAAGCTTACAATATATAGGCATATAAAGATGCCCTAGATAAGTAAAAGACCTAACTACCCTTAAAAGACACAGACTCAAATATATATTAATATTGTCTATACAATTGTCACAATAAGGACACATGAAAATTCTTTTATGTGTTCATCTTACAAAATGCATAATTGGATTTCAGTGATCTGGAGCAGTATTAGCAGATTTTTATCTATTTGATGTCTTCTACATGAATATAGATCTTGCTCTGTAATTAGCTCTATCCTGTAGTAGTTCAGGTTAGCTTTATTTTGTTCTTTATAGCCTTTAAATTCAGCAAGCTTCTCATTTACTAGGATGAACACTATTTTTTCAATTAACAAAATAACTTAGCTGATTTTGTTCTCTTATGCGCCTATTTGTGAAACATTTTTGAAAATGCATATGTATATAACAGTTGCATTCTTTCTTATATAAGCTAATGCTCTTGGTTGAACAAAGTGCAATGCACGTTTGATTTCACAACCATGGAGAGATGATTGCCACATTGGCTCATGCGATTAGACCCAATAAGTCTCAGACTCTTGATCTGTCCAAACTTAAGTTTCTCAGTGCCTTTTCCGCATTACCAAGCCAATAGGATGTTGGTAAAGGACAATAAAACAACTCCTAGTATCAGTTTATCATCATGAGATTACCTGTGAACTCCATAGCATTTCCCACTCTCCCTCTTGTAGTTCTGGTTCACCTATGCCTTTATTCTGGTTGAAGGAGATAAACTCATCGATTGCCTGCAATAGAAAAACGGTTGCAGGAAACCATATCAGCAAGGAAAAGTTTCTTCAGCATGCAACTTGAGAAACTTGAATTGGCAACGTCACCTCTTTGACTCCTGTACCCGTGGAGATGGTTGATAGCAATCTTTGCCTAGGCTCAGTTTTCTTTTGCAGCACAAATGTGGTTCCCTGCACTACAAAGGTATTATGGATATCCTTAGCTACGATCAACTCGTTTTAAGGTTCAAGCAATTAATTCGGTAATATTACTGATGTGAAATGCAGCACAGAATGTGTTAAAAATCTGTTTACTGCTAAGCAATGAATGCATGTCCTATTACCTTATTTCCTCTTGATATTCGGAGGTTTCCAGATTGGGACAAGTATGTGGTATCCAACCAACCCTTTGCCTCATCTCCAAGAAGTCTGAATGGAACTGGATATGGAACCTTGAATGGTAAAAATTTGAAAGAAAAGGCTGCTCTGTCAAACCGGAAAAGGATTCGTTTCCTATCTTTGATTGACGCCGCCGCCTTTGTGGGAACAAAAGAGACAAAACTTAAGTCACAAGAAAATACTTAAATGATCTATATGGCATCATTCATGACTTGACAAGAATCAAAGGGGGGGCAAAAGAAAAGAACTGAATGATAGTAACCGTTTAGTGCTGCAGAAAGAGACATATGTAGAGATATTTAGCAGTTGGAGAGAGCAAAGGCATACCTCTACTTTCAGCTCACCTATTGCATCAGAGAATTTTACGATATTGGATACGCGTGGGTCATTTGTCCGAAGAAATACCTCTTGAAACACGCTAAAGAAGTCGACCCCAACAAATGTCCTCTGAAAGATATTAAAAGCAGGATTCAATTGCCACTTTCAAATTGTTTATAGGGCCAACTGAACTTGTTTTGTTTTGCAAATCAATTTTCTTTCCATGAAATTTGGAGTCCCTAGAAGATCCATATCTTTACATTTGCAACACTCTACATGTGCATCATATAGCTAGGGTGATGCTTTCAAGATCTCAAGGAAAACCAATATATATTGCAAAAGAAACCAAGTTTTTGCAATATTCAAAAAGAAAAAAAGAAATTCATACAAGGAGGGGAAAAAAAACATTAGTTGAACAGATCATACTTGAATGGGAGAGGCAGTTCCAGGTCTTGTAGTAAACATCAATTGCCAGCGTCCCTCAATCAAACTAGAGCTGGTCTGCATATAAAACATACATTTTTAAGATATAAACAAATACAAAGAGACCAAAAACAACAATCAAAGCAGAAGGTTGTATTTCAATGATATCGAACCGGGTCCGGAATGCCTTGTAAACTTTCAAGAGCTTGCACAGCACGCTCAACATCCTGCAAAATCATTAATTCTCATTCAATAAGTTTTTATTAATCACATAATTTAAGAAGAGAAAAGAGAGAAAAGCGTTACAGTGAGTTGCTGAGGAGAAGCAGAGCGGCCTCGGCCTTGAATTCCAATGAGGGCTTCAACGAGAGAGTTCTCTTCCTCTGTAAACGAGACTTGTTGCTGTTGTTGTTCATCTACGAGAGCCAAAACTTGAGTGAGATGCTTTGTACGGCTTGAGTTCCTGAAGAAGCGAAGAGTTGTTGGTGAGAGTGAGAATGTGGGTTTTTCGCGCCAACCATGGAATCTCAGGCTTGTTAGATTTGGTGGTGCTGCTGCTGTCACTGCTGCCGCCATTGATGATCAAGAAGAAGCAGAGAGGCTGAGAAAGGCAGAGTGGTGCCAGAGCAACTGCCAACAGTGTAAGAGAGATTGAAGCTATTTGATTAATATCTCCTTCCTTTTGCCACGTGGGCTGTTCTCCATCAGACACGTCCAAACTGATATGTTGTGATTTATCTCTATATGTTTGCTGTTTACTTTTGTTTGACGAATTGGCGCCATATATTACATTCATGTTCTTTTCTAATATATTTTTTTAATTTCTTTTTTGTTCCAATTGTTGTTTTGTTTTAGTTCTTACAAAATTGTAGTTTATAATTTACATTTAACCTAGAAACCATTTTTGAATTACGTTAGGTTAGGTAGTTTAATTGTATCAAATAAATTTATATGACATGTTAAGTTCAACGCGAGATGTATTATATATGTGAGAGAGTGTATTGAAAATATGAAGTCAAGTCATCCCATGATTTGCATTCTTAGTATGTAAAGTCATGAGTGTTTCACCCATTGTTATTGCATGCGCAACTTAATGATTAATATCACAGAATTTTGGGAAAAATTGTCTGAATAAGCTTTCCATCTGTTTTACTTTGATTCCTTGCCTTATATATTTGATGGTGCAAGGTTATTATGATTGCAATCCAATAATTAGGAAATCTTACCATTCTGTCAATTTCTGATTGGCATATATCAATTTGGTGCACTCACTAATCTATCAGGTTTATGCAATTTCATTGTGGCTCTGTTGACCAAATGAATATACTGGGGGAAGTCTAAAGCCTAGCAGTTTCCAGATATCATAGTCCACAGCACTAAAGCTATGGAAAATTGATTGAGGCATTGCATAATTAATATAAATGAATATGACAATGCCCCTCAACTTTGGTTATTAATTTGTACAAGCTTTGCCTCTGATATAAGTTATAACCATGACCAGATTTAATGAATATAACAGTTTATTTTTTGTCATAAATCTGTTCATGTTGTGTTCAGCTGTGAGGTCTGATCTTAATGCAGATTTCTATAAGCAGACATGTCCAGATCTTCTCAAAATCGTCAGGAAAGAAGTGAAAGATGCTCTAAAGATTGAAATGCGAATGGCGGCTTCCTTGCTTCGGCTTCACTTTGTCGATTGCTTTGTGAATGTGAGTTGAAAACATTACTAAAAATAATTAATTAGCAATATTTTGGTACCTTGATTTAGGCTTATGTTTAGGCTAACTTCTTTTACATGCCTTTTTATGCTTTCCAACAATCCCAATCATTTTTCTTAGGGCTGTGATGCATCAATTCTGTTGGATGGAAGCAACAGTGAGAAATTTGCTACTCTCAATTTGAACTCTGTTAGAGGATTTGAAGTGGTGGATGCAGTCAAAAGTGCTGTGGAGAGTGCATGCAGTGGAGTTGTATCCTGTGCTGATATATTAGCCCTAATTGCCCGGGATTCTGTTCTCTTGGTAAGTGTTCATCTTTGGTTTCTCTTGTTTACAAAAATATGATCATCATTTGCAAGAGGCTTGTAGCTCAAGTGCCATTAACTCCACGGTCGAGATCTTGTGTGTTGAATCTCTTTGTAAGTTTTCATCTTCGGTATCTCTTGTGTACAAAAATGATGTGATCATCGTTTGTAAGGCTTATAGCTCTAGTGCTCTTAAACCTCGCACCCACCCGAAGTCTTATATCTCTTGTTTTTAAAAGGAAATATTGTATCACATTTGAATGTAACAAAGGCCATTGAAATCATTTGAGTCATTTCAGCAACATCAAAAAGTCATCTTAATTATCCAGATCTAAGCAGAAGTTGATGACGATGAAACTAAGAGCTCAAAATGTGCAGAGTGGAGGACCAACATGGAAGGTTTTATTGGGAAGAAGGGATGGACTGGTGCCAAACCAGAGAGGAGCAAATCTTGCTATTCCTTCTCAATATGACACACTGGACACAATAATTTCAAAATTTGCCAATGTAGGTCTCAATGTCACAGATGTGGTCTCCTTGTCAGGTACATAACCTAAAAATCTATATAATTATTGTTAATGTCACAGATTTGGCCATATATATATATTTAATTTAGACTTAGCATGGTAGTAAATTAAATCAATGAATAATGGTAATGGGGGGGTCATTTGGCATGTGTAGGTGCTCATACAATTGGACAAGCAAGGTGTGCCACTTTCAGCAAGAGACTCTGGAACTTCTTCAAAACAGGAGGTCCAGACAGCACAATGGAAAAAGATATGCTATCTGATCTGCGACATGTATGTCTCGTGAATGGCGATGGCAACGAAACCACAGCTCTTGATCGAAATTCGAATGATCTCTTTGACAACCATTACTACCAGAACTTGCTCGACGGGAAGGGCCTTCTTCATTCTGACCAAATTTTGTTTAATGGTGGTGACGATGAGACCAAAAGTGTTGTTGAAAACTACAGAAGAAAGCCTAAACTTTTCTTTGATGACTTTATTAAGTCAATGATCAAGATGGGAAATATTGGCCCAGTGACTGGATCAAGTGGACAGATTCGAAAGAATTGCAGAGTGATCAATTGATAATTGTGTTAAACTCTGCTGAATTAATATATTAAAATCTAGTTTTGTGGCCTGTATAAATTATAATGCTGATGAAGGGTTTGCCAGTTTTTTCTGGGATATTAAATAATAAAGGCCAAAAGTCACTTTTGGTCCCTGTAGTTTGACATTTCAACAACTTTTGACCATGTAGTTTCAATTCTGTCAATTTTGCCATTGTAGTTTCGTACTTGTAGCAATTCAAGGACATGTTAGTATTCTTGTCAATTTCTTTCACGATGCAAGGGGCAATTTCGTCAACCCAAAACCCTTGAGCATAAAAACTTGTATGAAATTCTCCCCATTTCATATTAGGACTCGAAATTCAACCACTAATCCCAATGTTTGAAGAACCTTAAACCCAAATGACCAATTTCAAGCCCTAATATGAAATTAGGGCAGTCTCAAATGAGCTTTTATGCTCAAGGATTTTGGGTTGACGAAATTGTCTCTTGTACCGTTAAAGAAATTGACAGGAATACTAACTTGTCATTAAATTGCTACAAATACGAAACTACAGGGTCAAAATTGACGGAATTGAAACTACATGATCAAAAGTGGTTAAAGTGCCAAACTACAAGGACCAAAAATGACTTTTAGCCAATAATAAATTACAATATATATAGCACTCATGATATGAAGATAGCAAAAATTATTAACAAATTGAAGTTTGAACCAATAGATTGATCTTCTATTTCATCGAGTTGTCTTTCAGATCAGAAAAAGAAGAAAAGACAAACTGGAAATGTAGTGGCCTCACTGTGAGTTGCTTGATCAAAATGTCAACTCCTATGTCCTATCAACTTCAATTTTTTATAACCATTTTTGCTGTGCTATCTGTTTAACTTGTCAAATTGCTAAAGCTTAATCTTATTCTTAATTACAAATTGTTAATGCATGCACAATTTAGTGATGCGCATGCACAATTTAGTATGCGCATGCACAATTTAGTGATGCGCGTGCACTGAAGTGGTAGCAAAAACGCATTTGGCTTTCTGTTGGCATGCACTATAATATAGTCTGAAAACGATTAACTAATCTTTGATTCATGAACTTGCTTAGAAAGCTTTATATACTATATGCAAAACTGATAACAATTAGGCCACCACTCTTTTGGCAGTATGCAAATTAATATCAGTCTCACAATCTCAGTGCAGTTTTCTGAGTTTGAGTAATTATGCAGTCAAGCTCTGGGTGCAGCCGCCATACATCATAAGCACTAGTTTAGCTTTAAAAAAAATCTTAATTCTCGCATGATGTTGTCTATAAATTGAGTTAACACCATATTTATTAGCATTAACTAGGGTCTGCCACTGCCAATATCCTCCTCAAGTAAATCATGACAAGGTCATCGATTACTTTTAGTCATCGTTACTCTTTGTTAATGATCACGTTCTTCGCGTTGTGTCTGGTTGCGAAGGCACAGTTAAGTACAGATTTTTACCGGGCAACATGTCCGGATCTTCTCAAAATTGTCCGAAGAGAGGTTCTGAGTGCAATCAAGACTGAAATGCGAATGGCTGCTTCTTTGCTTCGGCTACACTTCCATGACTGCTTTGTCAATGTGAGTTTAAGGCCTTGAGCATCATGTATCCCAATTTTTAACTAGCAAGCATTTCCTGTGGGTTTTTAAGACCTCCCTGATGAGGCATCATATTATTCATGGTGTTAAAATAAACATATATAAATTAACTCTCTTTTGCGCATATATACGTGTAGGGTTGCGATGCCTCACTACTCCTGGATGCAACTGACAGTGAGAAGGCTGCCGCGCCCAATTTGAACTCAGCAAGAGGATTTGAAGTCGTGGACAGAATCAAGAGCTCTGTGGAGAGTGCATGTAGTGGAGTTGTATCATGTGCTGATATACTAGCCATAGCTGCCAGAGATTCTGTGGTCCTAGTAAGTTCACACTTTCTGGGTTCATTTTATACATATCTACATAAGTGTTAATGAGATCAGAGACTAAACATGTTAATCTTGCAGAGTGGAGGAACTTCATGGAAAGTTCTACTGGGAAGAAGAGATGGATTGGTGGCAAATCAAACAGGAGCAAATAATGGACTTCCTTCTCCATTTGAAACTCTGGATGTGATCATTTCCAAGTTTGCCACTGTAGGCCTCGATGTCAAAGATGTTGTGTCCTTATCAGGTACATACTAATATCTAATCTCCAATATAATCCACCAAGTAACTCTCTAATGTGTTAATGGATTTAATTAATTCTGTGTTAACTTATTATAGGAGGTCATACAATTGGGTTGGCAAAGTGCAGCACTTTCAGCAATAGGCTTTTCAACTTCTCAGGAACAGGTAGTCCAGACAGCACATTGGAACAAAGCATGTTAACTGATCTACAAAACTTGTGTCCACGCACTGGTGATGGAAGCAATAACACCGCGGCGTTTGATCGAAACTCAGCCGATCTTTTTGACAACCATTACTTTCAGAACTTGATTAATGGAAAGGGCCTTCTTGGTTCTGATCAAATTCTGTTTTCCAGTGATGCAGCTGTGACAACAAACACCAAAAGTTTGGTCCAAAGCTATAGCTCTAATTCCGGGCTTTTCCTCCGTGATTTTGCTGATTCTATGGTCAAGATGGGGAATATAAGTCCTCTTACTGGGTCTGCTGGAGAGATCAGAAAGAACTGCAGACTGGTTAATTCATGAAAACAATACATATATGGTTGAGCTAGCAACATTTGAAAAATTATATTGTCCCTTCCACCTGAAATTATTTTATGAAAAATGTATGTGGCAGTGAAAAACCTCATGATCCTTTCTCTTGTGGACACAAGACTTCAGATATGACAACTATGATTATAAATAAACCTACCTGAAATAGGAGAAATGATACTATATGAAAACACATTGGGCAATACCTCATGTATCTATCTTTTCATCACATGATTTAAAGCCCTAATGTATTTATCTTACTCTCAAAAAAAATTAGAGAGAGAATGGGCCAAAAAACAAACGAGACGAGGAAAATCAGATTTCAAATGTATTTATAAACTTAAAACAAATTGCCTCTTTGTGACAGATCAAACACTTGCAATCACACAATTACTTCCCACGACATGATTGTATTCTACCAATTAGATGCTGACACTTAATTTTCTTATTTTTATAAATAAAGGACAAACTACAAAAGGCATATGTTCATTCATATATTGAAGTTGAATTGAAACGTTTACATCTTTGGTGGGAAACTAAATGTTTACTAAGAAATTATAGAATACTACATTAGTAATAACTATATGGTACATCTTGTATATATGTTATAATATGGATGGATGACACTGACTGAATTTATTTCCCTTCATTTCGTGAATAATATCAATAAATATCTATTTGTATTACAACACGTATCTTTCACGATATTTAGTGGATGGTCTAATATTTCCACATAATAGTGACACCGCTTGCATTAATGGATTGGGAAAGAAAATTTGTGGCTTGTAAGCCGCCTGCATGGCTCAACATTGCAATTCGCAAAGTATTGAAAACATTGGATTCGTTTCCTCTGTACAGTAAAAAAGAAAAGAAAAAAGAAGAATATTATTTTGTCTATTTTTCTTCAAAAATTTGAATGCATGCTCGCATGCCATTACCAAATCCTCATTGATTAATTATTAGCTCCTTCCTTGCATGAAAATTCAGCAGCTGAAAAAAAAAGGTCATGAAATTAATTTGTGGTGGATATGAATATAACAGTTTCAAATGCTGTCAAAAAAGAATATTTTATTGTCTTTTTCTTAACAATTTGGTTGCATGCATGCTATTATTCCATCATGTCATTAATTATTATTGGCTCCTAGCTTAGATGACAATTCAGCTGAAAACCTCATCAGATATCGTCTTGGAAAATTCAGCCAGCCAACTATAATCAAAGTGATCCTTTTATATACACACTTGTAACGAAGTAGGTAGCCTTCTTTTTGACCACATAAGCGATAGTATTTCATTAGATCAATTAAAAAAATACATACAGAGCCATCTTGATTAATAATATAACGAACATGGGTAAAGCTTCTTCCGTGACCAGAATCAACTCTAGAGGTGCAATGATCTAGCTAGGAAGAATAAATCGTAAAGAACTTGTCTAAAAACCCCTATATTAAGTTGTCCTAAATTAAGTCATTTCTGAACAAGGTGATATACACAATATGCTAAATTCAGCAGCATGAAGGTTTTTATTTTCTAACTGTTTAAAGGAAAATGCTAGCTAGGCATACCACACATTTTGTACTAGGCTCCACCTCTATTAGAGAGGTGGTATATAAATGTGGTAAGCCTAGCTAGCATTACCCGGATAACCATTAGATATTACTATAATGAGATAATAAAGTCAAATTAAGGAGAGGCTGGAAAGCAAAAATTGCTGACTCTTATTTTATCTTATTTTTCATTTTTCAAGGATGGATGTTATTCTGAATTTGCACAATATTTATACATATAGATCAAAGAACGTTGTAGTCAAATTTAGGAGGCGAGCTTGTATATATATATATAATTAGTATATTTTAAGGAATGATTAGATCATCCCTTTTGAGAGATGAGATGAGATGAGATGAGATGATCATGAGACTAATTAAAGTGATGTGGTGTGGGTGTGTCCACAACTATACCACGCGGTTTGAAAAACTAATTGTAGTATTTTGATTTTATTGACTACATATACAGAATTTCTAGAATGCTAGACTCGAGAGAGAGATATATATATATATATATATATATGCATCCTAGATCTCCTGCAACGCATATATCCAATATTTGAACAAGTATAGCCCAGAAAGAAACGTCCGTGACTGCTCTAGCTAGCTACTTCATGTTGAAATATATCAACACTAATTATTGATCTAATCATTAAGGTCAACAGCTTACACTATTAACTTCCATTATAATTAAATTCTTCAAATTTTGGTCCAGGCGATAGTCTAATATAAACTATAGTTTAAATTACAATAGATCGGAGAT